TCTCTAGTGCCCATGGAACATTCTCCAGAATAGATCACATCCTCGGTCCTAAATCAGGTCTCAACCGGTATCAAAAGATTGGGATCATTCCCTGCATATTTTCAGACCACAATGCTCTGAAGCTAGAACTCAATCACAAGAGGAAATTTGGAAAGAACCCAAATACATGGAGACTAAACAGCATCCTTCTAAAGAATGAATGGGTCAACCAGGACATTAAAGAAGAATTGAAAAAATTCATGGAAACAAATGATAATGAAAACACAATGGTTCAAAATCTGTGGGACACAACAAAGGCAGTCCTGAGAGGAAAATATATAGCGGTACAAGCCTTTCTCAAGAAACAAGAAAGGTTTCAGGTACACAACCTAACCCTACACCTAAAGGAGCTGGAGAAAGAACAAGAAAGAAACCGAAACCCAGCAGGAGAAGAGAAATCATAAAGATCAGAGCAGAAATCAATGAAATAGAAACCAAAAAAACAATAGAATAAATCAACGAAACTAGGAGCTGGTTCTTTGAAAGAATTAATAAGATTGATAAACCCCTGGCCAGACTTATCAAAAAGAAAAGAGAAAGGACCCAAATAAATAAAATCATGAATGAAAGAGGAGAGATCACAACTAACAGCAAAGAAATACAGACAATCATAAGAACATACTATGAGCAACTCTACGCCAACAAATTTGACAATCTGGAAGAAATGGATGCATTCCTAGAGACATATAAACTACCACAACTGAACCAGGAAGAAATAGAAAGCCTGAACAGACCCATAACCAGTAAGGAGATTGAAACAGTCATCAAAAATCTCCAAACAAACAAAAGCCCAGGGCCAGACGGCTTCCCCGGGGAATTCTACCAAACATTTAAGGAAGAACTAATTCCTATTCTCCTGAAACTGTTCCAAAAAATAGAAATGGAAGGAAAACTTCCCAACTCATTTTATGAGGCCAGCATCACCTTGATCCCAAAACCAGACAAGGATCCCATCAAAAAAGAGAACTACAGACCAATATCCTTGATGAACACAGATGCAAAAATTCTCACCAAAATACTAGCCAATAGGATTCAACAGTATATTAAAAGGATTATTCACCACGACCAAGTGGGATTTATTCCAGGGCTGCAAGGTTGGTTCAACATCCGCAAATCAATCAATGTGATACAACACATTAATAAAAGAAAAAACAGGAACCATATGATACTCTCCATAGATGCTGAAAAAGCATTTGACAAAGTACAGCATCCCTTCCTGATCAAAAACTCTTCAAAGTGTAGGGATAGAGGGCACATACCTCAATATTATCAAAGCCATCTATGAAAAACCCACCGCAAATATCATTCTCAATGGAGAAAAACTGAAAGCTTTTCCGCTAAGGTCAAGAACACGGCAGGGATGTCCGTTATCACCACTGCTATTCAACATAGTACTAGAAGTCCTAGCCTCAGCAATCAGACAACAAAAGGAAATTAAAGGCATCCAAATCGGCAAAGAAGAAGTCAAACTATCACTCTTCGCAGATGATATGATACTATATGTGGAAAACCCAAAAGACTCCACTCCAACTCTTCTAGAACTGGTACAGGAATTCAGTAAAGTGTGAGGATATAAAATCAATGCACAGAAATCAGTTGCATTTCTCTACACCAACAACAAGACAGAAGAAAGAGAAATGAAGGAGTCAATCCCATTTACAATTGCACCCAAAACTATAAGATACCTAGGAATAAACCTAACCAAAGAGACTAAGAATCTATACACAGAAAACTATAAAGTACTCAAGAAAGAAATTGAGGAAGACACAAAGAAATGGAAAAATGTTCCATGCTCCTGGATTGGAAGAATAAATATTGTGAAAATGTCTATGCTACCTAAAGCAATCTACACATTTAATGCAATTCCTATCAAAGTACCATCCATTTTTTTCAAAGAAATGGAACAAATAATCCTAAAATTTATATGGAACCAGAAAAGACCTCGAATAGCCAAAGGAATATTGAAAAAGAAAGCCAAAGTTGGTGGCATCACAATTCCGGACTTCAAGCTCTACTACAAAGCTGTCATCATCAAGACAGCATGGTACTGGCACAAAAACAGACACATAGATCAATGGAACAGAATAGAGAGCCCAGAAATAGACCCTCAACTCTATGGTCAACTAATCTTCGACAAAGCAGGAAAGAATGTCCAATGGAAAAAAGACAGCCTCTTCAATAAATGGTGTTGGGAAAATTGGACAGCCACATGCAGAAAAATGAAACTGGATCATTTCCTTACACCACACACGAAAATCGACTCAAAACGGATGAAGGACCTCAATGTGAGAAAGGAATCCATCAAAATCCTTGAGGAGAACACAGGCAGCAACCTCTTCAACCTCAGCCGCAGCAACATCTTCCTAGGAACATCGCCAAAGGCAAGGGAAGCAAGGGCAAAAATGAACTATTGGGATTTCATCAAGATCAAAAGCTTTTGCACAGCAAAGGAAACAGTTCACAAAACCAAAAGACAACTGACAGAATGGGAGAAGATATTTGCAAATGACATATCAGATAAAGGGCTAGTGTCCAAAATCTATAAAGAACTTAGCAAACTCAACACCCAAAGAACAAAGAATCCAATCAAGAAATGGGCAGAAGACATGAACAGACATTTCTGCAAAGAAGACATCCAGATGGCCAACAGACACATGAAAAAGTGCTCCATATCACTCGGCATCAGGGAAATACAAATCAAAACCACAATGAGATACCACCTCACACCAGTCAGAATGGCTAAAATTAACAAGTCAGGAAATGACAGATGCTGGCGAGGATGCGGAGAAAGGGGAACCCTCCTACACTGTTGGTGGGAATGCAAGCTGGTGCAACCACTCTGGAAAACAGCATGGAGGTTCCTCAAAATGTTGAAAATAGAACTACCCTATGACCCAGCAATTGCACTGCTGGGTATTTACCCTAAAGATACAAACGTAGTGATCCGAAGGGGCACGTGCACCCGAATGTTTACAGCAGCAATGTCTACAATAGCCAAACTATGCAAAGAACCTAGATGTCCATCAACAGATGAATGGATAAAGAAGATGTGGTATATATACACAATGGAATACTATGCAGCCATCAAAAGAAATGAAATCTTGCCATTTGCGACGACGTGGATGGAACTAGAGGGTATCATGCTTAGCGAAATAAGTCAATCGGAGAAAGACAACTATCATATCTCCCTGATATGAGGGAGAGGAGATGCAACATGGGGGTTAAGGGGGTAGGAGAAGAGTAAATGAAGCAAGATGGGATTGGGAGGGAGACAAACCATAAGTGACTCTTAATCTCACAAAACAAACTGAGGGTTGATGGAGGGAGGGGGGTTGTGAGAGGGGGGTGGGGTTATGGACATTGGGGAGGGTATGTGCTATGGTGAGTTCTGTGAAGTGTGTAAACCTGGCGATTCACAGACCTGTACCCCTGGGGATAAAAATATATGTTTATAAAAATTAAAATTAAAAAAAAAAACTATTCTCAGCTAATGGAGCATACAAAAAACAGATGGTGGGCTGAATTTGGCCACAGGCTTTAGTTTGTGAACCTCTGATTTTAGAGTTCATCACTCTTAAGTATCAAAGTACCTGGAATACCAACTTAATTATAAATATTTAATAATGTCTTAGTTATACTGCCAAATTACTAAGAAAGTGGGTTAGGAAGTGGAGAATAACATCAAGTGTATTATTTGAAAAATATTTCATCTAAACCAGGGAACTTACCCATATCCTACCAAAAAACAAAACAAAACAAAACCTATCACATAAAAACCGTTAGTTAAATATGTCTTTCCCCCCTGTGAAATTTTCTTATTTTACAAATCCAGGAGAAAGCTTAAATTTTCAATGAAAATAAATGGTACAGCTGACCCCTGAACAATGCAGGGTTTAGGGGCCATTGACTCCTGCAGTTGAAAATGTGTGTATAACTTTTGACTCCACAGCAACTTAAACTTAACTACTAATAGCCTACTGTTCACAAGAAGCCTTACTGATGACAAAAACAGTCAATTAACATACATTTTGCATGTTATAGGTATAAATACTGTATTCTTATAACAAAATAAGGTAAAGAAAATGTTATAAAAAATCATAAGGAAGAGAAAATACATTTACAGTATTGTACTGTGTTTACTAAAAAAAAAAATCCTCATGTAAAGTGGACCCAAACAGTTTACACCCATGTTGTTTAAGGGTCATCTGTACTCCTAATGTTTTTCCTGCTCTGACATTGGTGAGTTATTTTTGAAGATCATATTTCTGACCATTTTATTTTCTTTAACATAATAGAGGCAGATTATAGCCAGAGATTGTAGAAGGATCCCTATCCCATAGGTTACATGAGTGGATACATTAGTAGATATGTTTTTCTTGATCTTACCTTTTGAACATATTCCAAGGAAACCTTGAAAAAATTTGTTTTTATTAAATGTCCGGTTAGGTTTCTTTTTCAATTCCCTAAGCAAACAATCATTTATTATCTTTTACTTTCTCTATAAATTAAAAAACACACAGGAGATTCATTTCATGTAATTCTTAGAGGTTGTTTATATTACCATGACATCATAAAACCATTTATTATATATCCTTCTTGTATGTGTATTCTATCTTATGTACTACACAAGATGTTCCCTTTCACAAAGATTTTTGCATCCAAATAAATAAACCTTTGGGAGGAATGTGAGTGAAGCTAAGATTATCTAAGAGAACAATAAGTGGTATTTTAATAATTTTTGAGTATTTTCATTCATATATTTCATATATGTCCTGAAAATATATACAACTAAGAATATCAAATCATAAGATCCTTTGCAAATGTTTCTTTTAAAAGTGCAGGGACTGGACTCAGCATTTTATAGTTATTCAGTATCTTCTAGAATAGATAAACCAGAGTTAAGCTTACCTTTTCACTTTGTAAACAGCAGTGGATGGATGTCTGTTATATTTCAGGAGAAAAAAAAGGCATCCTAAAGACTTCACAGAACTGTGCAAATAGAATGGCTTAATTAACATTGTGTTTTTGAAATCTGGAAATGGAAGTATGATTAAATATTTCTAAAGAATGGAAAATTTCAGGGGCTCCTGGGTGGCTCAGTGGGTTAAAGCCTCTGCCTTTGGCTCAGGTCATGATCTCAGGGTCCTAGAATGGAGCCCCGCATCAGGCTTTCTTCTCAGCAGGGAGCCTGCTTCCCCTTCTCTCTGCCTGCCTTTGTGCCTACTTGTGATCTCTATCTGTCAAATAAATAAATAAAAATCTTTTAAAAAAATAAGTAAATAAAGTATGGAAAACTTCAGGAAAAATCAGCTTTTGTGTTGACTGTCCTTAATGTTGCCAGCTATTTCATTAAAATCCAGGAAGCGTCCTTGCTTTTCTTCTGTGAAAAATTTATTGATTTTATAAAATATTTATAACCAGGTGTCCTTCTAATGTCTTACTTGGTGATAAAACTCGTAAGATTTTATGTCCAGAAATGAAAGGCCTCAGAAGAAGTCATCATTTTATTTTGGTGGTGGTGGTGGTGATGGTGTATGTCTGTGTGTCTTGCCTCCGTGGCCATTTATTTAGACATTCAAATGCTATGCGGAGAGGTCATCCAAAATAGAACAACCTTTAACAGAGAAATAAAGATGAAATTCATCATACACCTCTGTAAGTTTCCATAAAAACTGTCACTGATCAGCATTTCTTAGATTAATCAGTGGTAAATATGTAATACTATTAATAATATTATCTATTTAAAATTTAAATGCTTTAATCTTAAGGAATTCATAGAAAACTTTTGCCAAATGTTTCAATGGAAATAAATGTCATGAAATCCCCCATAATGTAGCATTCTGATAATTATTTTTGAAAATAGTCTTTTTTTTTTTTTACTATACAACAGTATTAAAATATTTTTTTTTAAATTTTATTTTTTATAAACATATATTTTTCCCCCCAGGGGTACAGGTCTGTAAATTGCCAGGTTTACACACTTCATCGCACTCATCAGAGCACATACCCTCCCCAATGTCCATAATAAACCCACCCCCCCCAGCCTCCCTCCCCCCATCAACCCTCAGTTTGTTTTGTGAGATTAAGAGTCACTTATGGTTTGTCTCCCTCCCAATCCCATCTTGCTTCATTTACTCTTCTCCTACCCCTTAACCCCCATGTTGCATCTCCTCTCCCTCATATCAGGGAGATATGATAGTTGTCTTTCTCCGATTGACTTATTTCGCTAAGCATGATACCCTCTAGTTCCATCCACGTCGTCGCAAATGGCAAGATTTCATTTCTTTTGATGGCTGCATAGTATTCCATTGTGTATATATACCACATCTTCTTTATCCATTCATCTGTTGATGGACATCTAGGTTCTTTGCATAGTTTGGCTATTGTAGACATTGCTGCTGTAAACATTCGGGTGCACGTGCCCCTTCGGATCACTACGTTTGTATCTTTAGGGTAAATACCCAGCAGTGCAATTGCTGGGTCATAGGGTAGTTCTATTTTCAACATTTTGAGGAACCTCCATGCTGTTTTCCAGAGTGGTTGCACCAGCTTGCATTCCCACCAACAGTGTAGGAGGGTTCCCCTTTCTCCGCATCCTCGCCAGCATCTGTCATTTCCTGACTTGTTAATTTTAGCCATTCTGACTGGTGTGAGGTGGTATCTCATTGTGGTTTTGATTTGTATTTCCCTGATGCCGAGTGATATGGAGCACTTTTTCATGTGTCTGTTGGCCATCTGGATGTCTTCTTTGCAGAAATGTCTGTTCATGTCTTCTGCCCATTTCTTGATTGGATTCTTTGTTCTTTGGGTGTTGAGTTTGCTAAGTTCTTTATAGATTTTGGACACTAGCCCTTTATCTGATATGTCATTTGCAAATATCTTCTCCCATTCTGTCAGTTGTCTTTTGGTTTTGTGAACTGTTTCCTTTGCTGTGCAAAAGCTTTTGATCTTGATGAAATCCCAATAGTTCATTTTTGCCCTTGCTTCCCTTGCCTTTGGCGATGTTCCTAGGAAGATGTTGCTGCGGCTGAGGTTGAAGAGGTTGCTGCCTGTGTTCTCCTCAAGGATTTTGATGGATTCCTTTCTCACATTGAGGTCCTTCATCCGTTTTGAGTCGATTTTCGTGTGTGGTGTAAGGAAATGATCCAGTTTCATTTTTCTGCATGTGGCTGTCCAATTTTCCCAACACCATTTATTGAAGAGGCTGTCTTTTTTCCATTGGACATTCTTTCCTGCTTTGTCAAAGATTAGTTGACCATAGAGTGGAGGGTCTATTTCTGGGCTCTCTATTCTGTTCCATTGATCTATGTGTCTGTTTTTGTGCCAGTACCATGCTGTCTTGATGATGACAGCTTTGTAGTAGAGCTTGAAGTCCGGAATTGTGATGCCACCAACTTTGGCTTTCTTTTTCAATATTCCTTTGGCTATTCGAGGTCTTTTCTGGTTCCATATAAATTTTAGGATTATTTGTTCCATTTCTTTGAAAAAAATGGATGGTACTTTGATAGGAATTGCATTAAATGTGTAGATTGCTTTAGGTAGCATAGACATTTTCACAATATTTATTCTTCCAATCCAGGAGCATGGAACATTTTTCCATTTCTTTGTGTCTTCCTCAATTTCTTTCATGAGTACTTTATAGTTTTCTGTGTATAGATTCTTAGTCTCTTTGGTTAGGTTTATTCCTAGGTATCTTATAGTTTTGGGTGCAATTGTAAATGGGATTGACTCCTTCATTTCTCTTTCTTCTGTCTTGTTGTTGGTGTAGAGAAATGCAACTGATTTCTGTGCATTGATTTTATATCCTCACACTTTACTGAATTCCTGTACCAGTTCTAGAAGAGTTGGAGTGGAGTCTTTTGGGTTTTCCACATATAGTATCATATCATCTGCGAAGAGTGATAGTTTGACTTCTTCTTTGCCGATTTGGATGCCTTTAATTTCCTTTTGTTGTCTGATTGCTGAGGCTAGGACTTCTAGTACTATGTTGAATAGCAGTGGTGATAACGGACATCCCTGCCGTGTTCTTGACCTTAGCGGAAAAGCTTTCAGTTTTTCTCCATTGAGAATGATATTTGCGGTGGGTTTTTCATAGATGGCTTTGATAATATTGAGGTATGTGCCCTCTATCCCTACACTTTGAAGAGTTTTTGATCAGGAAGGGATGCTGTACTTTGTCAAATGCTTTTTCAGCATCTATGGAGAGTATCATATGGTTCCTGTTTTTTCTTTTATTAATGTGTTGTATCACATTGATTGATTTGCGGATGTTGAACCAACCTTGCAGCCCTGGAATAAATCCCACTTGGTCGTGGTGAATAATCCTTTTAATATACTGTTGAATCCTATTGGCTAGTATTTTGGTGAGAATTTTTGCATCTGTGTTCATCAAGGATATTGGTCTGTAGTTCTCTTTTTTGATGGGATCCTTGTCTGGTTTTGGGATCAAGGTGATGCTGGCCTCATAAAATGAGTTGGGAAGTTTTCCTTCCATTTCTATTTTTTGGAACAGTTTCAGGAGAATAGGAATTAGTTCTTCCTTAAATGTTTGGTAGAATTCCCCGGGGAAGCCGTCTGGCCCTGGGCTTTTGTTTGTTTGGAGATTTTTGATGACTGTTTCAATCTCCTTACTGGTTATGGGTCTGTTCAGGCTTTCTATTTCTTCCTGGTTCAGTTGTGGTAGTTTATATGTCTCTAGGAATGCATCCATTTCTTCCAGATTGTCAAATTTGTTGGCGTAGAGTTGCTCATAGTATGTTCTTATGATTGTCTGTATTTCTTTGCTGTTAGTTGTGATCTCTCCTCTTTCATTCATGATTTTATTTATTTGGGTCCTTTCTCTTTTCTTTTTGATAAGTCTGGCCAGGGGTTTATCAGTCGTATTAATTCTTTCAAAGAACCAGCTCCTAGTTTCGTTTACAATATTTTTGATATTTTTCCTTATGCTATGCTTTTCATCTCTGAAACTAGCATCATCTTGTATGTTGATTATACTTCAATAAATAGATAAATAAAAATTTTAAAATGCATCCTTTTTATCTTCACATTCTTTTATAATTACTTAGATTTGTCATTTTAATACTTCTAGAATTTCATTTAAGACCTGGAACTCAACAGTTTTATTTTATCTAGTGCTTACTATATCCTGCTACCACAGGCAAACACATTCTGTTTGAAACAATTTAAAAAAACTGAAGCTAAGTCACATTATAAAAAACTATAATGAAACTAGCTGTCGTCCACTTGCCATCCAGCCTTAAAATAATTTTTTAAATTATTAAACTGAAAATATTCAACTGGCAAGTGTACTTTATGAACATGAAGTCATTTTAAGGGAGAAAGCGCTGCAGGAGAAATCAAGAGGAGGACTTTTAGTGTTGTCTCTGATACCAGTTAGCTATCTACTCTTCAGTAGGTCTTTCAAAATCATTGTTTGGTCATCTGTAAAGTGTATTATAAGACCTATCCAAATGATAAAGTTTTATTGTGTCTTGAAGAAGCTAACATATATGGAAGTCTTTTGAAATTTATAACATTCTCAAATTTTAACCTATTATTGAATCAATTCTACTTACATTTACTTATGTATTAGTTTACTCACATCTCTGTTTCACTTTCAGTTATAATTAGAGTTATAAAATTTTCAAGAAAAAAGTGTTGGATAGGCGCAGGATTATAAGATTAATAAATCTGATGATTTGGAAAATCTAGATATTTTTCACCCTGCTCCAAAACTTCAATGTGTGTGTGTGTGTGTGTGTGTGTGTGTGTGTGTGTGTGTGTCTATGATCTTTACGTTGAGAATTGTACATTAAGAAATTCCAGCCCAAAGATCTACTTTATGTATGTTTCTGCCCATGCTGGAGCATGCTCCCAGGAAGAGGTACTAGGCTGAGTTTGTAAAGTATTATAATTCACTTTGTTTACAACCCTATCATCAATTTAATTATAGCAACAAAAAGCAACTCATTTAAAGGTACATGATATATTTTCTGGTAATGTGTCTGGCTGTTAGAAGTCTTTTTGTTTAAAAAAAAAAAATTAGACTGTCTTACCCAAAGCAAGTCACTTAGTAGTCTAATACATATCCCCACACTAATGATTAAGAATACAAGATAATAACATACATGCTGCTAGTGAACTAAAATTCAATCATCATAACGATATCAAGACTATGAACGATGTTATTATATACACTCATATAACACTGATTTTGCATTCAGTATTAGTTTGTAGACAAATAATGATCTGTATATGTTTAAAATACTAAAATTTAAGGGGTGCTTCGTTGACTTCAGTCGGTGGAGCATGTGACTTTGTGTTGTAAATTCAAGTCCCACATTGTATGTAGAGATTACTTTCAAAAATAAAATCTTAAAAAAAAAACCTAAAATATAAGATGAAAGTGTCCATAAAAGTCTGAAAACTCTAATATCTAAAAGAGGTTTCAGAATTTAAAATACCTCAGGACATTCAGCAGTATCTATCAAAGTGTTATTCCTTTTTATTATACATAATCCACATTTGCTTTCCAGAATACTCAATGCAAATAACATTTGTCCCCAGTGAGTCTCTTCTCATGAAAATATTTGTTAAATCTCCTTTAATCCAGGTTAAAATCCATAATGATTCAAAATCTTTTTCAAAGTTGACCTACTCATGTGGGCTGCTCGGATTTGTAATCAAGTCTAAAATCTATCCCATATAATACCTTCTGACTAATTTTTAAGTGACCTATGTGTATCAGCATCAGATATTTGTTAGTTACCCACTCACTAGGCACAGAGCCTTAGGGCAATTCAGAGAGTAAAATTTAAATACTATTATTCAGTACCATGGAATCCAAGACAAAGACGACACACAAGGAAATTTCCTGAGTTTAGTCACGGATATCCATAGCAAATGTTATGGCAAATATTTAACAGTTTCACAACTGTAAAGTACAAGACAGAAGAATGTGATCTATTGGAGAAATGGCTTTACATCATAATACAATCAACTTTACCTGCCTCAGAAAGTATTCATCAGGTTGTCATGATGGCTTTGCTTTGACTCACCTGTTCCCCTCTCTGGCTGGGTGATCAGACCGATGAGTTTGAACAGATCCATCTTCCTTGTCTAAATATCTGGAACATTTTAAATAGATACCATATCATTATAGGTATGATCAGAAACCAATGTTACTGTTCAACAATGTTTACTATGTGTAACTACTGTTTCTTCAAATTTAAATATCTTAAAAAGTGAAATTGATGACTTATGCGTATATATTCCTAGTCAAGCACTGACCTGAACACATCAAAGGCATATGCAAAATATGTATCGATTGTTTGTTGATTAATAAAAGCCAAAAGAGTATAATTTGCTCAATAATATTTAAATAGCTCATTTAGTGTTCTGAGAAAAACAGGAATCTTGCCGCAGGCTCAGTAATATGCAACCATCTTTTATAAATATTGGTAACTCTGACAAAGATAATGGTACTTTTTTTTTCTTTTAAACCCACCACCAAACTACTAGTAAGTCAGAGGTATGGAAAGGTACTCAAATTATTTCCAGTCTTAATGTATAAACTAAGAATTTGTCTGCTTAAGGAAATTTCATAATGGTCAAATTTTCACTTTAAATTACAACCAGGTAATATTTTAGGAAGACAAAAGTTGTCAAAATGTGTTTGTGTGTCATGGTTACTTAAGTAATAAATGCTAATAGGAAAAATTCAGTAATCAAGCATAACTGCCAGGTTAGCTCATCAAATTGAGAATAGTATTCTATAGTATTGTTTCAAGGCATAAATTTAACATTCTTAATAAAGATTCATGTTTTAATGGTAACAGTTATTTTTATATATATAAATTTTTATGATGTCTGAATTATTTTCTAAGCAATAAAAATTTTCTATACTTTTTAAGAATATCTCTATATAACTCTCTCTCTCCCAATTTGAGAAATAAAAAAGAGAAGTTTGTTGTAGGCAAAGCAAAGACTAATAATTAAGTTCAGGCAACATTTAGGATTTCCATTTGTTCTTCCAGTTTCTGAAGGCAATTCTCTTCCTATATCTATTCTTGAAAAACAAATTTCTCTGTGTATGTGTGTGCATGTGTGGGTTAACAAAAAGAAGGTAGATAAAACATACATATCTCTATCACCTCTTTGTGAGTTCACGTTTCTTACCTCAGGAAAGAAGGCTATCTGTCTTGGTCATTCCTTCTCTTTGAATATATGTGGCTTTTGATAAGAGACCATGTGAATGTCTCCTTAGATAAAAGATCTTTTCTGAGAGTTCCTGTCAAAAAACAAAAACAAAAAACCTGAAGAATAAATTGGGTATCAGAGCATCATCAAAAAAATCGGTATAGGACAATCACAGTATGCAAACCCAATAACAGAAACTCAAATCTTTTATGTCTCCACTGCTTCACAGTCAAGTGTTACTTCTCATTGTTCTATTTCATTCTAGGAGTGGGAAATGGAACAAGGAAGGGCAGACTGTCCAATCACTATTGGCTCACTTGGTTGATTTCTCTCAAAAGAAAAATGTTTAATACTAAATTTTCTCTTCCCTGGTTAAGACGTTTTGAACACCATAGTTAGATTTTATTTGTAATGTATTTTTTAGTCAAAAGATATAAGTTGCAAGCCCTGATTATATGTGAACACTAGAAAAATATTTGCTTTAATTTTACAATTTTACAATTTTAATTTTAATTTTTTTTTTTTAAAGATTTTATTTATTTATTTGAGAGAGAGAGACATTGAGAGAGAGCATGAGCGAGGAGAAGGTCAGAGAGAGAAGCAGACTCCGCGTGGAGCTGGGAGCCCGATGCGGGACTCGATCCCGGGAATCCAGGATCATGACCTGAGCCAAAGGCAGTCGTCCAACCAACTGAGCCACCCAGGCATCCCTAATTTTAATTTTAAATACTAAATAAGTATTAATTAAATTTAAAGGAAAAATAAAAACATCTTGTGAGCTATCCCTATGACACAGCCTACTTCCCTCACTATCCCCAACACCAAGATTAAGTAATTACATAACTGCATTATCTATATGTTACAAATTTTAATGATATTTTAAGGCAAAGTGTGATTTAAGTAAATCAAATATTAATATATTATGTAAAAAGCAAATTAATACAAACATATGTAATAGGGAAAATGTTTCTTTACACATATTGCCATTCCTGATTAGTAATTTTATTATTAAGAAAATATTTTACAGGGACACCTGGGTGGCTCGGTTGCTTGAGCAGCTGCCTTCAGCTCAGGTCATAATCCCAGTATCCTGGGATCGAGTCCCGCACTCGACTTCTTACTCAGTAGGGAGCCTGCTTCTCTCTCTCCCTCTGCCTGCCACTCTGCCTGCTTGTGCTCTATCAAATAAATAAATAAAATCTTAAAAAAAAAAAGGAATGTATTGTATTATTTAGTACATGAAGTGCTCTACACTTTTTCATCCTTCTTTCATATTTTCTCATATATATTTAAAGTTTGAAATATCTTAAATCTTTTGTATAAAACTATATATAAATTGCCATAGTTTTAGTATATTCTAAAATTGTACTGCTAAAGAAATTATGGTAATCCTTTCCCATACTAAAGATAAAATTGCATTTATCTATATATTACCAAAATAATCATTTGAAAACTGAAAAACATTTTTGTTTTATTTCACTAGCCTTTTAAAATGACTTTTAGGGGCTCCTGGGTGGCTCAGTGGGTTAAAGCCTCTGCTTTCGGCTCAGGTCATGATCCCGCATCGAGCTCTCTGCTCAGCGGGGAGCCTGCTTCCTCCTCTCTCTCTCTCTCTCTCTGCCTGCTGCTCTGCCTATTTGTGATCTCTGTCTGTCAAATAAATATATAAAATCTTTAAATAAAATAAAATTATTTTTAATATATACAGTTGCTCTATATAAAGTACTAAAATATTGCTAACACTAGATAGGTTGTCATCTGCTTGGGATGGTTTCAGAATGACTCCAGTTAACAACAAGTATGTTACCTAAATGAAAATGGAATTTATGTACTAACTCTGCCTCTGAAGAAAAAATGGAAGACATCTTTTGAACATTATTCTCTTCCTGACTCTGAAATAGGCTTTCACTTAAAGTATCTAATTTAAACTTCGTTATGTCTCTACCCTAAAGTATCTATCCACATCATTTAGGTTGGGAAACTGATATTCAGAGAGACCAGGTAATTTCCTTGTGGTATTTTTATAATCGTAGCTGGTTTGTTGTTATTTGCATACTAACTTTTCACAATAAATGTGTCTCAAAAGCCTGCACACATATGACAAGCTAAAATTAATTTATAGTAAGTGATGTTGGGGTATGGGAAGTCTAAGTGAAGTTATATTTAGATTCTAGAGTTAGACTACGACTTTATTCAAGCTTTCTAGAGGCAGGATTTAAAATGTAGCCATTTTTACAGCATATAGCATCCATAAGTTAAAAATAAACAGGTGCTTGGGAAAAGCACATTGATAATCAGAGACTAAAGAGAAATTACCCTCTTTTTATAAATCTCCTGTTGTGATCACTAACATTTCGAGAGTTTCATAAAATCATTTCTGAAAACCAATGGAGTTTCATGATGTGACGCCATCCTGTAATGAAGGAGTATTTTGGCAGCAATTTATTGCCTGACAGAGAAAGAAGAGGCTTTTCCTTGAGGAGACTTTTACATATCCATTGAAAATAATGCTTTCAAAAATATTTATTGCCTTAGGTAATGGTCACAATAAATTGTTAAGTGGGGAAAATTTATATTTCACAATAAAACGTTAGGTGGAAGAATATAAAATTTATATTTTCATACACTTGACATATTTAAGTTTTCGTATAAACTCTTTTCTAAATCTAACATAAATGCTTCTAATTTGTTCCTACTGGAAACAGAAGTAATATCCTTAAATACGTACTAATTAGATCATACTTCTTTCTACCCACAGCCATCAAGCATTAAGTAACATTTTAGTAATATTCCATAATATCACAACATAGTAAGGCAAGATAAGCACCATTAATAATTCTCTTTCAAATACAAGTTCTCCATATTTTTTTTTATTTCACCAAGAGAATGGATTGGTAATTTACCAATGGTCAGAAGATCTAAATTCCAATTCGCCGTAGTACTGTAGGACCTCAAATGCACAACAGCACATTGCTTCTTAAGATGATGCCTGTGTGCACAGGTAAAAATAGACATTGAAATGTTGTAAGGAACACACCCTTCTACTCATTACCATTTGCCTGGCAGGTCAACTAGCCTCGGGCCAAAATACATCATTTCAGGTCACCAGGCTAACAATTTTCCAGTTCCCAGTTCTCTAGTAAGAAGAATCAACACATTTCAGAAAACAGAAAATATAACCTTCAAAACTTTTTGGAAACCTGCAAAGATATAAACCAGGCTTTTCATTATTGGTGTAAAATTTAATGACACTTACACTTATAATTGGCTTTTTTAAAATTCAGGATTATATTATGTGGCTTCTGTGTATTTCTCAACTTTTATCTCTTTACCACAGCTCATTAGGTATGGAAAAGAAGAGACATGAAACATGAATTAAATGGTTTTATTGTTAGTCCCTTAGGCAAAAAAAGACATCTACACTCCCTAGAGAATTATATAGACTCCAAACTTGAGTAGAATTTCTTTCTTAGTTGTTTTGTCTTCTACAGTATATTTAATATTTTCTACTGTCCTTGATAATAGTTCCTTAAATAAATATTATTAGATTTCAGCTTAATTACAAAGTCAAGGCAGACAAGTTGGAAAACACACATACATACACACACACACAAAACAAAAACCAGAAAGGAAAAAAAAATCACCATTGCTAAAATTTTATATCTACCAGTTTTCTTTTCCATTCAGTTAAAAACATACACATTTTTAAGTTATTTCATAGTATACACACTATTTTTTAGAATTTTCTCAATTCTAGCAATGTATTTTGCAACATAAATTTTAGGAGCTAAATGTTAATGTCATATGGATATACTATCATTTACTTAACTGAGGTTTTGCCCTTTTTCTTTTTGCTATTAGAAATAAAGCTATGTGGTGCATCCTTACAGACATATTTTTACATATGAATTTTCCTATAAATTCCAAGAATTTTAATATTTAATTCAAAATATAAAACATATTTTAAATTCCATTGCCAAAAGATAATTTTGTAGTTTCATCATTTTTCCCGCTTAAAGCAGCGTGAGAGTGCTCCTTTCTAAGAATTCTATAAAACAATGGATTTCCTTTACTTTTCCAATTTTATTAATAAATATTACATCTTACAAGGTCATTTTCAGAGTGAAAACTTGAAAGAATTAATCTCCATTATAAGAAACACTAAAAGAATTTTTTTTTTGAAGATTTTATTTATCCATTTGACAGACAGAGATCACAAGTAGGCAGAGAGGCAGGCAGAGAGAAAGGAGGAAGCAGGCTCCCTGCTGAGCAGAGAGCCCGATGCGGGGCTCAATCCCAGGACCCTGGGATCATGACCCAAGCCGAAGGCAGAGGCTTTAACCCACTGAGCCACCCAGGCACCCCACTAAAAGAATTTCTGTAGGCTAAAAGAAAGCGATATCAGTTGGCAACTGGGTTTTGTAAGAAGTAATGAAGAACACCAGAAAAAAAATTGGTCAGCAAATATTAAGGACCTTTGAAGTTATTATTCCTATACCTACACATATTTTTTTGTTTCCTTGGAGACAATTTACCATGTAAAGTAAAAATTATAACAAAAATGGTTTTATAACAATTATATAGTCAATCTTCAACAGTAGGAAAGAATATGCAATGGAAACAAGACAGTTTCTTCAACAAATGGTGTTGGGAAAACTGGATAGCTACATGCAAAAGAATGAAAATGGACCACTTTCTTATACTATACACCAAAAAAATTCAAAATAGATTAAGGACTTAAATGTAAGACCTGAAACCATAAAAATACAACAAGAGAGCACAGGCAATAATGTCTCTGACATCAGCCAGAGCAACATTTTTCTAGATAAGTCTCCTAAGGTGAGGGAAATAAAGTAAAAATAACCTGTTGGGACTACATCAAAATAAAAAGCTTCTGCACAGTGAAGGAAACAATCAAAAAAACTAAAAGGTAATCGAATGAATGGGAGAAGATATTTATAAATGCCCCATCCAATAAAGGGTTAGTATACAAAATATATAAGGAACTTAAAAATTCAAGCCCCCAGAAATGAATAATCCAATTAAAAAATGGGCAGGAGACATGAATAGACATTTTTCCAAAGAAGACATACAG